TGCTGCGGCACGCTTTTTGACAAATTCTGACAGACGCACACACATCACACCTATCCTCGCCGACTTACATTGGCTACCTGTCTCCTTTCGGGTGAATTTCAAAACAAAGTTTTTTCCTTCATGCTCATACCTTTCTGACATCATTAAGCTCTAAATCCCAAAGTGGTCTTTACGATCCACTGAAGTGTCATCATTAACTGTTCTTGTTGCACGATACAAAGCTTACGACCAGCGTGCTTTGTCGCATGCTGCCCCGAAGCTGTGGAACGCTCTCCCTCTGCATGTTAGGCAAGCCCCTTCCTTTGAGCATTTTAAGTCCAGCCTCAAGTCTTATTTTACCATCACCGTCAATCGTTGCAGTCATTATGTTCACCTGTATGCCAGGATTGATGTTTTATTCTATGTTTTATCCGTTTTAGTGACTGTTTTGTTACTGGGTTTTATGCTGTTCAGCACTTTGGTCGGCTCTAACGCGGTCTTAAAATGTGCTTTATAAATAAACTTGGACTGGATGGTGTTCAGTGGGTCCTGTGGCTGCAACAGAAGCCCAGATCATCAACCATCCACCACCGTGCTGAAAGCTGGGATGAGCTGTTACTTGTAATATGCTGATTGGTTGGGTCTAAATGTGTCACTGTGCATAAGGGGTAACTTGCTTGTATGGGTTTCCCTCACTAACTGAGGGCTGATGAGACTGACACGGAGCTTTGTCTCTGAGGGTTGTATGATTTGAACTCAGTGTAAACTTGGAGAGAAGCAAACTGACAAATTCCCTGCTTTTATAGAAGAGCCAAAACCAACTGAAGATCAGATTATTATTTAGTTGATCAGCTGAAAACTTGCCCTTTTATTTCATTTTGGCCTCGTTTAGATCATCTTTGTTATGTGTAGCGACACAAAGGTTAAAGAAAGACCAACTACTGACTTCAAAAGATTCACGAAAGCTTGAGTTGAAAAGGTTCGCCTTCACTTCTGCACAGGCTGTACATTTCTTCACCTGCACTTTAAAAAGTAAAGGAATTATCAAAACAAACAAAAGCTGGTCTAAAGTTCACCTGAGAAATGTCCATCTCTGAACCCGTTCAATAACATGCAAACATTTGGTCACAACTGGTGTTTCCACAGTTACCTTGAATAAGTAATCAGATTATTGATTATATGTTATAATGAAATATTAAAGGGATACTATGCAACTTTTCCCTATAATCCTTTTCTTGAGCCAGTATGTGCTAAAGTGACCCTTTACAGGGTTAATCAAATCAAATCAACTTTATTTATAAAGCACTTTTCATACAAAAAATGCAACTCAAAGTGCTTTAAAGATTAAAATGACCCCATAGATCCCATATTCCCATCCCAGCCCCCCCTCCCCAATTATAAAACAATTAACAATTACGGTTCCCCTCCCGCACCCAACTTCCAAAGTGGACATACAATCACCCGCACACTCGTCCATGCACACACACACACACACACACACACACACACACACACACACACACACACGCGCACGCGTGCGCACACACACACACACACGCACACACGTGAACACCAGAGGAAACAATAGGCTGAGTTCAGATGGGTCAAGTAATGAACGAGAAAGGCCACTCATGTTCCTAAGCTGATGACCTGCAGAATGTGGTTTCTCTGCTCCAACACACCTGACTGAATGATTCAATCACCTGTTCAACAGGTCATCTGGCTCTGCAGAAGACTGTTAAACACTGTTAAACACCCACTGATTAAACCGGGTTTGTTGAAGCAGAGAAACGTCTAAAACATGCAGGATGTTATTGGTGGCTCTGGCAGGTCCGGGTTTGGCCACCACTGGTTTAGCTGGGTTTTGACCACGGAAGCTTAACAGAACCAACGTAACGCCGAACCTGGAACAAAAAAAGCTGTATAACATTCCTTCTATAGTTTTTGATGATAGCAAGACTGTGTTTAACAATCTGTGTTCCAATCTCTGTGACCTTACCTGCCAGTGGTGGTCCAATCAGCAGCGTGACACTCTCCATGACAGCAAGCAGGCCCAGAGCAGAAGGGAAGCGGCTCATCTCTAGGATATCCATGAGAACGGTGAACATCAGGGAGCCCACTACGCTCATGGAGAGCCCGTAGGTCATCACGTACATCACCAGGACAGGAAAGCTAGCTCCCAGGCAGCAGATGCTGTTACTGAGCCCGTTGACCAGCAGAGCTGAGGCAAAAACATAAATGTGTCGCCCTTTGAACCAGGGCAGGTTGAATATGATGCCAAATGGTGGCCGCACCACGATGTTGACGACCCCCAGGATGGAGAGCAGCAGTGCAGCCTGACTCGGCTCCATGCTGTGGCCCGTGGCATAAGGAACCAGATAAATCAGGGGTACCACAAACCCAAGCATCATGAAGGTGATGCCTATGGCATACACACAGTAACGCCGGTTGTTACAGAGCTGATCAAATGCCATGTGTTTGCTCAGAGAGGCCACCACATAGCTCCACATCGTCCTCAACCTCCCTTTCTGTTTTCTTTCATCTTCCTGATCGGATGGAGGTTTGTGGTCCATCAGAGGCGGGCCACGATGCCTGTTGGGCTGGAGGGGCCTCATCACAGCTCCACACACGCAGCAGTTCAATAGAACGGCCCCCAGAATGAGAAAGCTTCCCCTCCAGCCAAACTGTGTGTGGAGGTAGTTTCCCAGGAACGGCAGAATGCACAGTCCGAGGGCGGTGCCAGTGGAGGACATGGCGTTAGCAAACGCGCGACGGCGCACAAAGTAGTGTCCCAGGATGGTCACAGCTGGCTGGAAACTGAAGCAGAACCCAAGTCCTGTAGCACAGGAAGGATGCGGTAATTGAAAGAAAAAAGAAAAATCTGGTACAAGTCTTAAATAGGAGACTTTACATGATCTTTCACAATTTTCTAATAATTTAGTAAAGGAAAATATGACTTTTAAGATTAGTTTCTTAAATTTGTCATTTTCTCATCATGTTTCATCATCAGATGGAGATCTGACCAATCAGAAACCACTCTGCTGAAACATGGAAAGAGTTTACCTGGATGACAAAGTTAAGAGTATACCCAGAAAACATTTTGTGCATGGGAGGTCATAAAAACAGTTGAACTTGGAATTTTAATGTTATGTGGACACCAGTCTCTAAAGTGTCACAGCCTTTCCTGTTTCCTCAACTAATAAACTGTGATACCACTGTCCATCTCTCATTTCACGGTTATTTAAATGGAATCCTGTGGCTAGGGTTGGTGGGTCTGTTGTAGGGTTGTGGTTAGTGACTAGCAGATAACAGAGCACCAGAGATCAGGACCAGCAGGAACGTGTTAATATTCCCACTGAAACAGCTATGACTGTAATAAAATCATCTAAATAACTGAACAGATTTCATTCACTGAGTAGTTATGAAATGCAGCTACAGTTGGTTTACAGAGAGGATTATAGGAGAGACTAGTTTCTGAGTTTTACGATGGCCTTGCTCTGTTTTATGATGCTATGAATCATCCTTTATGTTTGTTTATCACAAGCGCTGCAGGAAGATATGTTTTTTCTAACTTTATTTATGGTGGGAAGCAGCAAATGTCTAAAAGATGACTTTGTAAGTTGGGTTTTTCCCACACGCTTTTCTTATCTGAGCAGACGTGGGATTTGAAAAGTCAGAGCAGACTTGCAGATTGTACTAGATCTATATTGTCAGATACATTTCTACCTGAGCAGGTGAGTTATAAACCATATTCTGATGAATTATTTAACCATGAATCATTAAGATCCACCACAGTAACATCAAACTGTTAACATTGTGAATATTTACTAAACAATGTGAAATTTAAGAGGTTGCAGTTGTTTTAAAACAGCAGCAGCACACGTTGGTCTGGGCTGTGCTCAGACTAGCAGTTAGCACATCAGTCCTGAAGGATGTGAACTCTATTACTCTGAACTGAGGCCATTCAGGGAGCTATCTACAATGATAAGATTGCAACTTTAAAACAGAAACACGTGAAACTTGGATGGAAGTCGCCTTTAAGATCTTAAGTGATGTACAAAAAAGTAGTTTACAGGAAAGTTTGTTGTTTTTAGATTTGGAATTAAGTGAACTTTCTCCACCTGGTGGTACCTGGAGGTGTTTGTGAACAGTTGTGTGTAAACCAGCAGATGTTGGCTGGGATTTGGGGGTGTTTGCTGACCTGTAATGACTCCAGCAGTGATGTAAAGCTCAGTCATGGAGCGGGTAAATGAGCTGGCAGCCATTCCGACCCCGCTCAGGACTCCACCCAGCATGACCGTCGCTCTGCAGCCAAATTTGTCCACCAGCACACTACAAAAGGGCCCTGTAAATCACACATGTGAAGCTTTTAGTTTAATGCACTCACTCTGAGGAGGGCTGTTTCATTAATCCTGCAGCCTGGCTCACAGAACTTGCTCTAGGGTAATCTGTACCAGCTGAGTGACCTTTCTATGAAATATGTCTGTTCTGTAACATCATCTCACAGCCTGCTGGTTAGAACGAATACATCTCACACACAGTATGAAAGTCTGGAAACCTGAAAGCTTGGTGACATCAGCGCGGTGTAGAAACATGTTAGTACTCTTTAACACGACACGCTGCCCCAACTGCTTCTCATAAATAACACATGGATGAATACAGTGGGTATTAGAAAGCCTGAGTTCTAAATAAAGACGTACGGATCAGCTAAATGTCACTGAGAGGGGTTTTCAATTCACTAGTTTCATTTAGTTTTGGACAACAAAGCTGCTGATATTGATGGAGATAGAAGTCAGCCAGCTAAAGCCAATCTCACACGCATCAGGGGATGTAAAACATTACAAAAATATGTGGAAGGGTTGCCTTCAAGCTGTTGCTGCTAATCTCTGCTAAGAAAAGTGGCCAGGAAGTGGCAGCTTAATGAAGATAAACCTGAAGGTCATTTCAGGTTTTTCCCTGAGTTAGATCATTGGAGGACTCAACGCATTGCTGTTGCAATAATCCATGAGAAATTCTTGGATATTTATCAATCTGTGTGCCTCTTTTTGGTCAGACAAATCAGAAATTGGACCATGTCATGTGATAATGCTTTTGTGTTTAATTAATGTGTGATGTACATTATAATCTCAGCCAATCAATTTGTTTAAGATGCATTGATTCATAAATTAGATTAAGTCTTTATCGTTAGAAACCTAATTTACAAAGCTGTTGTTTACTCTAACACTGGCTAAACAAAAACTTAGCCAATAAATTGTTTTGTTACTGCAAAACAACCCAGCCATAAGTCTTTACTGGTAATAGTAAAAAAAAGAAGTAAGAATATTCCTTTTAGTTGGTAACCAGGATCCCTCTTTCAAAAAGATGAAAAAGCAGTTGTAACTCATGCTTTGGGGCATTTTGACACAATAGTGTTATTAAAACCCAACGTTTAGAAGAACATCACAAAGCTGAGTATCCGGCTGGCTTCAGTAGTTGAACAAGTTATAATGTGCTGGGGCCTCATTTATCAAGCTTGCTTACGCACAAAACGGGGTCGGAAAACTGCGTAAGCAAATTTCCACGCAATCTTTGGGATTTATGAAAGAAAACTTAGCGGAAAAATGTGCGCAACATTAAGTTGACTAAGGACCTGGCTTACACACATTTTGGACATGGAGAGCACCTGCAGCGCTGCTGCTGAGAAGGATACAATTATGAAATCCTGCAGCATTATCACTTGTACTGCTTCGTTTTCACACAGAACAAGACCCTCCACACGCGCACACTCACACACACGCGCAAGCACACGCACACACAGCCTGAAGCGCAGAATACGGAATGCAGAATATCAGCAGGGGGACAGATTGAGACAGAATGTCATGTGTCTGTGACAGTGTGTGTGTGTCCTGTCACTGTGACCCGATTGATCATGCACCCTGGCTACTGTTAATGTTTTATATATGAGACCCCTGGTCTTTTTATTTATATAGCGCCAAATCACGACAAGAGTCATCTCAAGGCACTTCACATAATAAACATTCCAATACAGGTCAGGGGTCTCATTTATCAAACACTGCGTAGAATCCTTACTAAAACCGTACTTAAGCTCTGGAAAAAAAATTTACTTATGCCAAGTAGGTTTGTGATCTATCAAACATGGAGTACGCACAGCTGCACGCAATCTCCACTTCATAAATCAGAGACTAATGAGAAAGGTTCTCAGCTGCTTTTTATTCACATCCCGCCTTCACCACACCCACTTTCTGCTATAAATGGTCAATGCAAAGTGCCTTGTGGATCTCATGCATATACATAAGCCGGCTTGCTGCAGCATTTCGATCCTGACCGCATATCAAGGAAGCGCTATTTCACAAGCAGAAATTCAGGTACTTGTGGGTGAGGTGGAGAAATGAAAGGAGGTGCTTTTGCAAAACAAATAAGAGAAAATCCACGGAGTGGCACAACGTTGCTGAAGCCGTCAATGCTGTGAATTCTTCAGAGAGATCTGTGGCGGATATAAAAAAAATGGTCCAATCAAGATTCGATCCCCAGACTCCCAGGTGAAAGTCAAGCACGCTAACCAGTCAGCCAAATGGAGATCTCCCTTTGCCATGTGGCCAGGGTGCATGATCAATCGGGTCACAGTGACAGGACGCACACACTGTCACAGACACATGACATTCTGTCTCATCTGCCCCCTGCTGATATTCTGCATTCCGTATTCTGCACTTCAGGCTGTATGTGTGTGTGTGTGTGTGTGCGTGCGTGCGCGAGTGCGGGGGGTCTTGTTCTGTGTGCGCACGAAGCAGTATAAGTGATAATGGTGCAGGATTTCATCATTTTATCCTCCTCAGCAGCAGCACTGCAGGTGCTCTCCATGACCAAAATGTGCGTAAGCCAGGTCCTTAGTCAACTTAAAGTTGCGCACATTTTTCTGCTAAGTTTTCTTCCATAAATCCCAAAGATTGCGTGGAAAGTTGCTTACGCAGTTTTCCGACCCCGTTTTGTGCGTAAGCAAGCTCGATAAATGAGGCCCCTGTTCATTAAGCCAATCAGAAAAAAGTTTCCTATATAAGGAACCCAGCAAATTGCATCAAGTCACTGACTAGTGTCTGTGTCTTTACAGCAATCCTCATACTAAGCAAGAATTTAGTGACAGTAGAGAGGAAAACTTCCTTTTAACAGGAAGAAACCTCCAGAGGATCCTGGCTCAGTATAAGCAGCCATCCACCACGACTCACTGGGGATCTTCATGAAGTATCATGAGTTCATACGTCACCTGTCATCTTGGCAGAAATTCAGAGCACAGTTCTAAACTAATCAAACTCTAAGATGCACATTGGTTTGCCTTTAGATTGACCAAACATTACAAGCCACTTTAATGAGGGAATTTGTTGAGAACACTGTGTTGTTCTAGCAGAGGTCCTCCCAAAAAGTGCTCCACTGATTCAGAATGTATTGATGTGAAAACATCCATACTACACGTGTGTGACGGCTGCTTTAATTAATGTCTGTTTTCATCAGAGTCCTGGAACCTAAACCCCAGCAGGCATGGGAGTTCCTGATAACCATGAGTAATTGTCATGGTTCCAGCATGTGGAGCTGAGTTTCACCACACACAGGAAGTTAGGTCTGAAGATATCGTACTGTATGAAACAGAACTGAATCTTCTGATACGAGAAGGCTGCTTACTGAGCACAATCCACGGAATCCTCTCCAACACATGGGAATAGTTAAAACTCCTTTGCTATTAAATTAGTAAACAAAAGTGCTGAACCAGGAACCAAGAAGCTGAAGGTCATTCTATTAAAAAAGGATACCGACCAACTTAAAGCATCTGGCTCAGATTACAAATGAAGGAAAGTCTTTTATTACAGCAACAGAGTTCAGAACGTTCCTGGGCTAAAGGTTTAGACTAAAGCATTCCTTCCAGTTGCTAGATGTACTAATCAATTTTTTAAAATAACCTAATTTCACCCATCATACCATGTTATACAGCTAAAACCAGAAGGTGTTATGAAGTCCACCAGACTAATAGTTTTTGTGCCTCTGGAGAAACATGAAGAGAAGTCATTTAGATTTTTGTTATGAATTAAAACAACTTAGATGCATCAATTCTGGATTTAAGGGTTGATACTGATCTCTGATCCTTGTTCAGCTCTAACTGCACAGTGACAAGGATGCTGATTTAGTTTAACTCTGGTTTGTGTCAAAGAACTGTAATTCTTTATCCTTTTCAAGTATCTGAGCCTACGGATCTGTTTTTTGCTAGGTGAGTTCAAGGACAAGGGAAAAAGTTGGCTTTTTTATTACTACATGGTAATTGAGCATTCACATCAAAAACAAAAAAGACTAACTTTTGGACATTCACTTGTCCAATTATGCTGAATCTTGGCCAATTCCTATCATCAGCTCATGTTCTTGTGCATCTGTATTCATTTAATCAATTTTGTTGTAAATTCTATTAGTTTCTGTCTGCAACTGTGCTTCAAGAATGAAAGGTAAAACATGTAACTTAAATACAATAAAACCATGAAATCCTAAATTGACTTCTGCAAATAAACCATGAAACAGGTACATTATTGTTTGTTGTCTGATATTCTCCTCTATCCTCTGTGTTTACTTTAAATGTCCTTGCTCTCCCATGAATTCCCACGCTGTTTAATGTTTCACAAAAAACTTCAGAGGATGGCAAAAGGAGGAAGTTGATTTTACCACCTGGACAGATCATTCTTTATGCATTTTGTCACCACACACTACTTCCTGTTATCACACATAGGATTAATATGTCCAAGCATCCCTTAACAGTAAACGGTAAATGAAAAAGAATACTGGATGTATGCTAACATTTTTACCAGTGACTCACTTTAAAAATAAATAAGAAAATTTGTTAAGATGCATGAAAAAATGTTCCACTTCTCTTAAGGTGTTCCACAGGGGTCTGTATTTGTTAAAAGCTTCATTTCAGCCTCATTATAACTTAAATTCATTGTTATTTAAATGGCTCGTTATCCTTGATGGCTCAAATGATCCTTTAGTTCAATAAGGCGAGGTCCATCATTAGCAGTAAAAGTAGTTTTTAAAGCAAAAAGATGAGTGGTGCTTATTGAGGAGACCAATTTAGTTACACTTGTAAAGACGAGCTGGTAGATTTATCGATTTAAAGGTAATGGGGTCACTTTAAAGTCAAGATCACCATGTTTCTTTGGGGAAGAAACGGACTGCTGTTTCTCAAGAAATAATCTTATCTAAGCCATCAAGAACATCAGGATGTACAAAAAACACCCTGAGAATCTCCCTCTCAGCTTGCACGTGTTCCCAGGATAATCTAAACAACCCTGAAAGATCAATATGGGACAAAATAAATAGTGTGAGGAGATTTTTATGAATGGGACCAAACACATGTTTAGGTGTAAATCATTAACATTTATAATTTTCTCTACGACAGAAATCCAAAGGAAATTTCACTTTGGATTATTTTTTCTGAGTATTAATCTGGTTTGACATTTAGTTTGGTTTTGTGTAACTGAGAACAGATGGCTCCCTGTGAAGGTTAATTAGGATGTAATGAGTAGACCTACTGAAGCAGGACTTTAGCTCATTTTTGGTGTTTCAGATTTACCTCCTGCATGAAGCACTGACGTCATGATGGAGGGCACCCACGACGTTTCGCTGTTGGTCGCCTGAAACTCGTTCTGCAGGTCTGTGTAGAAGATTCCCACACAGGAAGGGAACCCCAGGGTCATAGCCAGAACCAGGATGGTGGCAACCAGCACCACCCAGCCCCACCCACCATCCGGAGCGGCGACTGCTCCCGTTACAGCTGCGGGGGATCTGCTTTCACCACCCTGCCCCCTCTCCTCACTCTCATAGTCATTGGCTTTGCGCTCCTCCACACCGTTGGCCAAGTTGAAAGCCTTTGAGGCCTCTGAGTGGAGGTGGCCATAGCCTGAGCCCCTGATCCCATTTTGCTGAGTCATCTTATGTTCGTCAGTCCCAGCAGGGCTACTGAGGTCGCTCCACGGGAAGTGAAATCACCTCTGCTGCCCATGTCACTGAAACTGCTGTGTCCTGTAAGGAAACATACACATATAAAATTAAAACAAGATAGAAAGGTGTCTTGCATATGTCCAAACAGAAATGTTAAAACTATTTGGACAAGCGTGTGGTTTTTTTTTAAACACCTAAATGTATTATTTAACGCAAAATAAACATTTTGGAGCTTATGACCATGGTATACTGTTATTTCTTCATAAAACACTCCCCCAAAAGTTGTGTTCCAGAAGCCTTCATGAGGTTTTTTACTACACCCTTAAACTCTGCTCCTTAAGCCTGGTTCATGCTTCTCCGTCAGCTCCGCAAGGGACAGACACGCACGGATTGACGGAAGCGTTTTGCTTTCATACTTCTCCGTCTCCTGGAGAGCGTTGCAAAGCAAATGCCCGGCAGGACAACAGAGGGCGTAGCGCTGTTCTGTGATATCCTGTCGTGTCTCGGTCCAAGATAGTGTGTTTATATTGTGTTTTTTTTTGTATATAAGAGACTTTTTTTAACACAGACAAATTTGTCTCTCATTCTCCTCCACCTCTTCATGCGCTCGCCACCTCTAAACCCACGTTTCCTGTCATTTCTGTCCACAAATAAAACGCTTGCTGCTTATCTTTCACTCCTCATGTTTTTAGTTTTTTCGCGAGGTATTCTTCAAGCTTCTCCGTTGTCTGCCACTTGTTATCCTCAGCTCTCTTTAAGTTTTTGAGGGCGCAATGGCGGCGCTGTAAACAACAGCGGCGTCCTGACCAATCACAAGCTTGCGTTGTCCGTCTCGACTGACGGATGTTTCGAAAAGAGAGCTCGACTCCGTCCGTCCTTGCGGAGCTCTCCGGCAGGCATGCAAGGACGTTGCGTGTCTCTGCACTGATGCAGACGGAGAAGCATTAATCAGGATTTAGTCTTGAATCTGGAGCCCTTCTCCCCTGGACTGTAAACGCTAACACCCACTCTCTTCACGTAGCTAGTGGGGAGTTTGATATCCACATTGTGAAGAAGTGATTTGTCTCTTATCAAGTCTGAACTTTAAATAATGCCTAGAACCCAGAAAAGGTTTTTTGCCTGCGAGAGGAACCGGTCTATCCATCTTGAAAAAAGATTAATCCTTTAATAATAAAACATAGTAACCTGTTCTTCTGATGTTTTATATTAAACAAAATTAATGTAGTGGATGTGCTTTAGTGCATCCTGACACGATCAATTAGAAAAAAAAGGATAAAAAAACAATATATCTTTAGCTTTCTGTAATTTCAGATTAAACCTGAAACCGATCAGTAAATGTATGAGCCAAACTAATTCAAAGAATAAGAAAGACCAACTAAAACAAACATATTTTCTTTTATTAAAGCAGTATGATGTTTTAGAAATACTTCTTAAAGAAGCTGTGATGGCCACATCCATGTCCACACAACGGTGAACGTTAGTACACTCTGGCACTTTTATGACTGCAGTTTGTATGTTTATATTTCTTGGGATTTATTGCTTAGATGGCTTAATTGCATTAGTTCTAATTGTAAGCGTGCACATTTAGTTAAATGCTGTATTTTATGCCTTTCATTTGTTCAATTTAAGCTGATTTGTTTTCTCTTACCGGTGCTGAGAGGTTCTCCACTTCCTGCTTCCTGAGATGGGACAGGCAAACAGGGTTGAAGGGGTTCTGTCAGCTAAATACAGGAGGAGCTGATGGGGCCAAACCAATATCTCCATGAAGAGGGGACTGAAGGATTTCCTTTAGTATATTATTTTGTCATTTGTTAATTAATTTAAGTTTGAAGTTAAATAATTGGGTTTATGGGTTAGGATGTTTAGGTTTATTAACAATCTGACTGTACTGATTTGTGGTTGTAGTTTTAGTTAGTAAATGTTTGTCTAGCAATCCCTATTGTTCATATGGTCTGATCAGCCAGTGTGTATATATACCCTTGTGTGTCTTTGTTTGTTAGGTCGGTTATGGTTTCAGTCAGTCAGTATGTTAAGTTAGAAGTTTATTGAGTTTCAGTTTGTTTGTTTGACCTCTTTTATGAGCTCGAGCGGTTTTTGTAAGGATATTTTAAAACAAAAAAGGAAATTAAAGAGTCTCTATTTTTGGAAATTGCCGGTGTTCCTCCACTCATTTGGCTTGATCCCTCACAGAAGTTAAAGGACATTCACCACACATGTTCACCCACTCATCTGTTTTTAAACATCTTAAGAGTAATTTTCAGATATTTAGTTCTTAGATGAGCTCCTTTGTATCTTTTAATCCTCTAACAACCTTTCAAACCTTCCAAGTGGCTCAGACCTGTTTGCTTTGAGTAGTAGTATATATATATATATATATATATATGTATATATATATATATATATATATATGTGTGTGTGTGTGTGTGTGTGTGTGTGTGTGTGTGTGTGTGTGTGTGTGTGTGTGTGTGTGTGTGTGTGTGTGTTTATTACAACTGTTCCTACTACTACTTGTACTGCTAATAATAATGATGGTGATGAGTGTATTTCAGCTCATTTTCAGCTCTTTTACAGAGACTCGGGTTGATGTTCCAAAATGTAAAGCTGAAACAAAACTGCACTCACAGGCCACCACGGAAATCTGTGTGCATGAGCCTAACTGGACACTTAACCCATCTAAACATTGATGGCTGTACAGTTTGTCCAGCTCTATTTCAGTGTGAATGTCACAACACAATTGGAGAAACAGGAGGATTATTTTCGAACATCAACTGTAACTTAATGCTACGAATCCAGTCTGAAACCCTGTAAAGTCATACTGTGATCATATGAGCACAAAAAATTCTGCTGTAGGGGGCCACCCCTCAACTATGATTACTTGATCCTCCCCAGATTAGAAACCTTCTTCTGTTTATTTTATTTGTTTTGTTTATTTTATAAAATGTGCCTATGTTTTCCGCTTACAGGTTTTGGGTTCTTGGTTGATGTTACGTGCAAAGCGCTTTTGCTGGCAGTTTCTATAGCTGTTTTCTTTTCCAGGTTCAAGTTGCCTGCTACACTGAGGTGAACCTTCCCTTTTTGTCAGTGATTGGCTGCTGTGTACCTGGTTACCCAATCAGCTGTGGAGCCTGCCTTTAAATAGCCTACACCTGGTGGAAACGGTGGCCATTTTGTTCTGATCCTGCCTTTGAGCCCAGAGCTTGATTGTCCCTGTTCTTTAGTGTAAAGTTGAAGCTGAAGTCCTTTTAAAGCTGGTTGCCAGGTATGTGGTGGGAAGGTTGTGGACCAGGTAAGATGGGGTACCCTGTACATCTGCACACATAGTATCTGGATGTCTAAAAACACTAGGTAAGCGTGGGTAGTACCTCCCTTGTACTGGTTTTTGAACACCATTTTGTAGATAAGTAAGTTAGGAGTTTCTTTCTCTTTTTTTCCTCAAGGTTAAGAGTTCAGTTAGGGTGTGTTTAGTTTTATTTATTTCATTTATTTGGTCAACCCACAGGTCCCTTCTTTTCACCCACATTTCTTTTTTTTATATACACAACCTTCAGCAAATAAACTTTTTGCTCTTTAGCAGACCGGCCTCCTCCATGATTGTGACTATCATGTTGCTTCCCCTATACCCTAGACTGGGGGGCATGTAACAAGTGGGGGCTCGTCCGGGAACCCGGAGCTATTTGACTATCACAGTTGGGTTTGGCTGTGTTTGCTACGGGTCATGATGAGGTTTGATTTGCAGGAATTTATTGATGGTCCTAGTCTGGAGAAACTTGAGTCTTGTCGCAAAGATGACTTATTGTGTATTGCTGCACATTTTGATGTCTGTGTGGTTAAACTGGATGTCAAAAAGGACATTAAGGATGTCTTAGTGGCTCATCTGGTAGAACTGGGAATTATTGAAAGCTCTGTTTCGGATGCGGGGATTTGTGTTGTGGATGTTTTGACGGGTCCATGTGTTTCTCAAGTAGGTGAGGAGGAGTGTGTGACCTCCCGTACACCACAGAGGCCGGAAAAGGAAGATGTGGCTCCTCCTCCAGTCCTTCCTCATTTTGATCCATTGTCTCCTGATCGTCAAGGGTCGAGCATGAATGCTGGGCTTAAGGTTCGTCTGGCTCGTCTACAACTGGAGGCTCAAGAAAAAGAGCAGGTGCGAAGGGTAGAATATGAGCTTCGGTTGCAGGTTCGTAAAATGGAAATAAAGGCTGACAAAGAAATAAGGTTGAAAGAATTAGAAATAAAGCCTGCCCAACTTTCTTCAAAAAACGTACCTCCTTCTGTTTCTGCTCAGGCTATGGCTGTTGAAGCTGGAAGTCATAAGTCGGGGTTTGATTTCAGTAAAAATATAAGTTTGGTACCAACATTTCGTGAAACGGAAGTGGATGCTTATTTTGGTGCTTTTGAACACATAGCTACCGCTCTTGCGTGGCCCGAAGAGATGTGGTCTATTTTGCTTCAGTGAAAATTAGTTGGTAAAGCGCAAGAAGTGGTTTCCTCCCTTTCTGTCAACGATAGCTTGAAGTATAAGGTGCTTAAAGATGCAATTCTGCGTGCATATGAGCTGGTGCCTGAAGCTTATCGGCAAAAGTTTAGAAATCACAGAAGGTCTGACAGCCAAACTTTTGTTCAGTTCGCGAGGGAGAAGGGAAATCTTTTTGACAAATGGTGTTCTGCTAATTATGTCAAGTAGGGCTGCAACAAACGATTATTTGGATAATCGATTAATCGGATGGGGTCTCGACACGATTAATCGATTAATCGGATTACATAGGGACATTTTTAAAAACTGCCAGGGAAACGTTATTTTTCTCCTTCCTTCACTTTATTAAACACAACATTATTAGAAAACAGTTCAATAGCAGAAAAACAACATGCCATCACCTAAATTGTCTTATAAGGTGTATAGACAGAGACCCTAAGCTACATCTATCTGTGACCTAAAATGCTTGGTCCAAGTTAAACAGCTTAAAGAGCAAGTCAACCCCTACCAGAGTCTAACTCCACTCCCGCTTCATGTTTGAAAAATGCAACACATGCTGTTGCCTGGCAGACCGAGAGGGCGGAGCCGCTAACAAATACACACACAC